GAAAATTGTTTCTCAACAAAATGGTGGGAAAACTTCTCTATATCTTTTTTTAAGTGATTTTCTATATCTTTTTTTAAGTGATTTTTTAAATGGAAAATATTTTTTCCACCCAAATCTCTAAAAATCCAAAAATCATCTCCGGAAACATTTAAAATTACAATAAGAAAGATATTGTTAGTGAGACATCCATATTTTACTCAAAAATATGTTCTGAGATGTATTAATAATAAAGATGTTGTTAGTGAGACATCCATATTTTACTCAAAAATATGTTCAGGGATGTATTTCCAAAAGAAATCCATAGATGCACTTCAATAAAGTGTTATCAAGCATTCTTTCATTGCTAAATTCAACATAACTCCCATGGCTTTCTCTGTGTTCCTCACTTTGGGACAAATAATTTTGACAAAATAACTTATAATTTGAGACAAAAAAGAGTATTTCCAGGGGATTATGTGATTAATACTTCATAGAAAACACCGTCCATAGTTCAATTGCAAATGCTTTGGATCTTTTCATCTAATATGCAATATGTCAATATGTCTTGATAGGTGAGAGTGTGTGGACTCTTGTTCCTAATTTCATTTTTCTGGCCAGCTTGCTGCAGATTTTTAAGGGTGACAATTGAACAAAATAAAGGTGACTAAAATGTGTGTCTGGTGGGGGAACACCCCCATGAAGTGGGATAAGTACTACCGTTTAGAATTATTGAATTAGGAGAAACTAAAAGTCATTTAGGTTAAACCGTGTGTAATAAAAGTACTACGGAGACTTTATTATATATAGAAAGATTACAACTAATTACATTATATAATCGATGTGGGACTATTCTACATACAAATATTTTTAACATTATATATTTACAAATATCAACACTCCCCCTAAAGTTGGAGCATATAAGTCAAATGCACCAAGCTTGCCACATATATAATTAGTTCTGGGGCTTCGCAGAGATTTTATAAACACATCTGTCAATTGATCATTAGAGTTGACAAAGCTTGTGACGATGTCGCGAGATTCGATCTTCTCTCTGACAAAGTGACAGTCTATCTCAATATGTTTGGTCCTCTCATGGAAGACTGGATTTGAAGCAATGTGCAATGCAGCTTGATTATCACATACAAGTGTCATTGGTCTTGCTTCTTCAATTTTAAGTTCTTTGAGCAACTATTTTAACCAAATGAGTTCACATGTTGCCATTGCCATGGCCCTATACTCTGCCTCGGCGCTTGATCTTGCAACTACAATTTGTTTCTTATTTTTCCAGGATATAAGATTTCCTCCAACAAGTACACAATACCCAGAGGTGGATCGTCTATCAATTGGTGACCCTGCCCAATCAGCATCAGAGTATCCAACTATTTGAGTATGTCATTTATCTTCATACACTAAACCTTTTCCTAGAGCACATTTGATGTATCTTAGAATCCGGATAACAACATCCATGTGTTCCTGACAAGGGGAATTAAAGAACTGGCTTACCACACTGACTGTAAAAGAAATGTCTGGACGAGTGACTGTGAGATAATTCAACTTTCTAACCAATCTCATATACCTTCCCGAGTCTGATAGAGGCTCCCCCTGATTGGGTAGTAGTTTGGCACTTGGATCCATAGGAGTATCAACTGATTTAGCGTTCAACAAACTTGTTTCTTCCAAAATATCCATAGCATATTTCCGCTGAGAAATCACCAAACTATCTTTAGATTGGGCTACCTCAATACCCAAGAAATACTGGAGTTTACCAAGATCCTTTGTCTGAAATTGATTTGAAAGATGTTGTTTCAACTGGAGTATTCCCAACTCATCACTACCAGTTATGACAATATCATCTACATACACAATAAGATAAATACACCCTTGTACTGAGTGACGATAAAAGACAAAATGGTCAGCTTCACTACGGACCATACCAAATTGTTGTACTACAGTGTTGAATCTGCCAAACCAAGCTCTCGGAGATTGCTTAAGACCATAAAGAGACCTGTGTAGCCTACAAACCATATTGGATGACTCCCCCTGAGCAACAAACCCAGGTGGTTGCTCCATATATACTTCCTCTTCAAGATCACCATGTAAAAGTGCATTTTTGATGTCAAGTTGATGAAGAGGCCAATGTCGAATGGCTGCAATGGCTAGAAGAAGTCTAACAGATGTCATCTTGGCTACAGGTGAGAAGGTATCACTATAATCCAACCCAAAAATCTGAGTGTATCCCTTGACTACCAAGCAAGCTTTAAAACGATCAATCTTATCATCTGGACCAACCTTCATTGTATAAAGCCAACGACAACCTACTAAAGATTTTCCAGTGGGTAGAGGAATCAGTTCCCAGGTACCATTGCTTTGAAGAGCACACATTTCATCAATCATTGCTTGCCTCCACTCAGGGTGAGATAATGCTTCACCTGGAGATTTAAGAATAGAAACAGAAGACAAAGAGGACAAACAAGTATACTACAAAGGGGAAAGACGATGATAACATAAATCAATATAATGTGGAGAAGGATTTTGTGTTTGACGTATACCTTTGCGAAGGGCAATCAGAAGATCAGACTCGGGTTGCAGGATCGAATTCGGTGATGGCGATAGCGTCGGGGGAGAGTCTGCAATGACCTCAGAGACAGGTACGACCTCAGGGACATGTACAACCTCAGGGACAGGTATGACAGACGTTGGTTTACGACGTTGATATGTTTGAAGTGGGCGAGAAGTGGGGGGGTCAACCGTATGGGTTTCTCGTGGGACAGGTTCCCTAGAATGATGGGGAATAATGGGAAATAGGACGTCCGGAAGAGGTGTGGGAGTACTTTCCTGAAGGGGTTCCGGAGTGACTTGGGTGGACGCAAAATATGGCACAGACTCGAAGAAGGTAACATCGGCCGATATCAGGTATCGTTGCAGAGTGTGTGAGTAGCAACTATAACCCTTTTGAGATCGATGATAACCAAGAAAGACACACTTTTGTGATCGAGCTGATAGTTTATCAAGACCATGGGAGAGATTATGCACAAAACATATAGATCCGAAGACTCGATGAGGAATTGGATGGAGGGGAGAATTTGGAAACGAGGTTGAATGAGAGATTTTATTATTAAGGACAGATGAGGGCATGCGATTTATGAGATAACACGTCGTGAGCACAGCATCCCTCCAAAATCTGAGAGGGACATTACCATGGAGAAGTAGAGTCCGAGTGGTTTCTACGAGATGCCGGTTTTTGCGTTCGGCTATCCCGTTTTGTTGAGGTGTATGAGGACAAGATGTTTGGTGTAGAATACCATTGGATGACATAAAAGTTTGAAATTGTTGGGATAAATATTCACGTGCATTGTCACTTCTTAAGGTACGAATGGACAAACCAAATTGGGTTCTTATTTCTCGATAAAATTGTTCAAAAATAGAAAATAATTCAGATCTGTTTTTCATTAAAAATAGCCACGTGCAACGTGAAAAATCATCAATAAATGTTACAAAATACCTAGACTCAAAAGTAGACACAGTACGCGATGGACCCCAAACATCGGAGTGAACTAAAGCAAAAGGAGACGCAGCCCGTTTATTGACTCGATCAGGAAAGTGACTACAAGTATGTTTCCCTAATTGACAAGACTCACACTGTAAAATGGATAATTTAGATAAACTGGACACCAACTTTTGTAGCTTGGGAAGACTTGGATGACCTAACTGCGCATGTATAATAAGTGGAGAATCTGTGGTGGAGCATGTGGTAGATGACGTAGAGAAGTAGTAGAGGCCTTGAGACTCTCATCCGACGCCAATCGTCTGTCCCGAACTTTGATCCTGCAGAATAACATCACTGTTAGTAAAAGTGATAGAACAATTAAGGGAACGAGTTAAACGACTGACTGACAGTAGATTAAATGGGCAATTAGGTACATATAGGACAGAAGTAACAATGAGAGATGGTAGAATTTGAACAGTACCGGTCCCTTGGAATCGGGTTTGAGAACCATTTGTGACAGTTATACTCGATAAGAAACCAGAGGTAGAAAGGGAAGAGAAAATATTTTTATTACCGGTAACATGATCAGACGCACCAGAGTCGAGGACCCAAGGACCAAGAGGAGATGATTGAGAGACGCAAACAGATGAATTACCAATGTGCAATCGAAGCCGTGGAACCAGAGGTTTGGTTAGTCTGACACCACCTGAGAAAATCCTTGTAACTTGGCGTAGAGTTCTGAAGAGAAGGTGAAGTCTGCATAGTGTACGACTTTCTGTGGGTCGAAAACGAAAACCAGAAGAGTAAGGCGATTTCCCGAGAGAGAAAAAATGCGTGAACAGTGCAACGGCGGTGAACAGTAGTCCTCCAAAAAAATATATTTTCGTGAACGGTGCTTGGCGGAGGTAGCTGGAAAAAAAAAAAGGTGAGACAAACCGGAATGATGACACAGTTTGCAGAAGAAAATTTCTCACCGGAAGACAGTGAGTCAACCAGGTAAAGCACCGCGAAAAATTGCCTCTTAAAAAGCTCTAGATACCATATTGAATTAGGAGAGACTAAGAGACATTTAGGTTAAACCGTGTGTAATGAAAGCACTACGGAGACTTTATTATATATAGAGAGATTACAATTAATTATACTATATAATCGATGTGGGACTATTCTACATACAAATATTCTTAACATTATATATTTACAAATATCAACAAGAATAATACATTTTTTTCCATCCAAGCCAAACATACATTCAACTTATTAAAAGATTTTTAATAATTCAACTTATTAAAAGATTTTTAATAATATTATCTTGGGACTAAGATTCTCAGCTTTATAAAAACTGAAAATATTCACTTCTAAAATTAAAATGAGTTAAAACAAACATAATTCCTAAATCTTGAAATTTTGAAAATATAACTTAATTTAGATAATTAAAATAGTAACAAAAGTGTAGCTAAGGGAGTCATAAGACCAGACACTGGGAACAACCTGAGAACAAGTGAGTAAAGCATGAGCAAATACTCACTTTTTTCTCTTAATCATTTTCATCTGATGACTTGGATTCGTTGGTGTGATTATTTTTTTGAGCATTATACATTTCGGCAACCTGAAGAACAAGCAAAGCATGACCAAATAATTCAATTTTCAATGGGTTCAATTAATCTTTCAATCTCAGATCATGGATTGTACGCGAGACACTAAAGATTGCACTTTACCTGCTTGGACGATGAGGCCTTATCAGGATCTTTGTCCGCCCGAAATCGAATTAGACGAGGAAATCTAAGAGATATGCCCTGCACAAAAGTTTACAGACTTGAATTAGACCAGGAGATCAAAGAGATATGCCCTTTACAAAAGTACAAAGTTAAAAGCAAAAATCATCGCTTAAACAATGTTAAATATGCAAATGTTTTGTAGGAAACTTTTGTTGAAAGTCCTGCATTACATAAATGGATAAAAGATGTGACTTGAAATAATGTTTAAAAGTGATGTTTGTAGTTAGACTTATCCAAATTCCAATAAGGTATCAAAATATATTTAAAATCAATTAAAACCAGTTAGATCATCCATTATGAAACTAGGATAAGACATGGGCATGAAAATTGAGATGTATAAGCCTAAGGGCATTTCCACTTAAGAGATATATAAAGAATTTTGGTGAAGTGACGCAGATTGAAGTGTCATAAATTTAAAATTTTAAGGAAATCAACCATTGTGCAGTCCATTCATCACTACATGTCTCGCACTAGGGAGTCACGCCTAAGAAACCAGGCTTGTAAGCCCAAGGGCTCTCTCATGTAATAGATTAAGCATTTAAGATACTCTCCCTTTGAACTTACAGTCAGAACATAGGCCACGACACATATACTAAGAATATTCATCATCAATTTCAATCTAATAGACTGTTTTTAATACCTTATCTGAATCTACGATGCCCACTGCAGCTTGGTACACAGTGCTAATGGTGAGGTCTGCAGCTTTCACCTCCCACACCTAAATAAAATGATGAAACACACAGATGATGTAAAAACCTCTGATACAGTGAGCATAAAGCAGTTATATTGGACAGTGAGTATAAAGCAGTTATATTGGATAAAAATAAATGATAGGAGATAACAAGGCATTCGAAAAAATTCATCTCAACTCTAGATCTTTCAATTGTTATAAAAAGTCACATTAACAAAATATCATGGTATGTGGAATGGTTTAGCTCTTCGCATCATATGCTTGCTACATCCATAATTAAGGCTAATTAGACCACGATAGTATCCTCAATCAAAAAGATTGCAGCAAGCAAATGTTATTAGTTAGTGTGTTATGTTAGTAAGAGGAGCTAAACTCATGACCACCTTATCATTCCAATCCTAATGTATCACCTCCCAAGACTAATTCATCCACCTTATAACCCCTAGGACAATTCATCAACGTTAGTAAGTTAAAAAAAAAAAAGGAAATTAATAAAATCGCCCAAAAAAAAGTCAACATGATTCTTACTTCAGTGGCTTCAAACCAGACATCAGGTTTGATTTTCTCTGCATGCCTATAGTACGTCTGAAATTAAAAGAGTATTTCCAATAAGTTTGTAAAATATTGAACATGATTCAAATGGTTCAGAAAAGAATACAGCACTTTTGGTTGGGGAATTATTTTTGACCGGAGTCTGGTAGAACTTTCTTCTAGCAATTCTCTCGAGAATCCAGTTCCTACAAGCATAACATAAAGAGTATGAGATTAAACTAAATTTCATATGCAAAAAATAAACGCGGTAGTAACTTGACAACATGAAAACACACCTGTCTTACAAATAGTTTGAAATTCTTCATTATCGATGTCATAGCAGGCAAGGAGAAAGGCCCCATAGACTCCTACAAGAAGTCATGTCACCAATTCATTTCAGGCTGCTTTTAGGTAGAGGTTTATAACAGAAATATACAGAAAATCACTTTAAAATGACGACAAGTGATATAGTGCATCATAACATTAGAGAGTAGGATTCATTATTACCTGCACGTTGCCCACGACCGTGGAAAGCACCAATAGGAACCAAATCTAGTGTGTCCCCTAAACTGCAAACTAGAACAAATTAATAAGTAGAAATCCATTTATGCAAGTGCAACTTCAGAAGAATAAAAAAATATGTTTGAACATCCTTACTTTTTCAGATAATCTTTCTTCAGTTTAAGCCAGTTGCGAGATCTATGGGAAGGTTGATATGTAGCATGTTTATTTAATGTTTTAAAAATTAACCCCTCACAACTGCAAAGAGACAAGCCAAATGATAAAATAATCTTGTTAAAGTTTTTAATAATAGTATGTAACCACATAAAGATCACTAAAGAGTAAAGACTAAAGAGCATACTCATTATGCTGAACTCATGCTTGTGCTTTTAACTCAAATCAAGAAGTTTTTACCTACGTGAACTTAAATAAAAATAAAAATAGAACCAATCACCTAGCATCCACGGCTTCGTCAAGAAACTTTTGTATTTCCTCGGCATCATTTGATGTTAGAGACGTTGCAAACTGAAGAAATCCAGAATCCTCCTCAAATGAGGCATAAAGATGCTGCAGAGAGAAACTAGACCATAATCAATATATAGTTCTTTAGGATACCATCGTTCAATTTTAGAGAGTTTTTTTGTTTACAGAACTTTTAAAGATAATTTTTTTTGTTTACATAACTTTAGGACAACAATAGTGACAATATCACGATCCCTTTACAATCAAATTTGCAAAGGATTGCATGCACCATAAGTAGAATTGGAAATTATTTTCTTAATACTATTTCAAAAGCAACTGAGTACAATTATTAAACTACTTAAATAGACTATACCTACCAAGCTTGAGGAGGCCAATATAATCGGCACAAATAATAAAAATATATTTACAATACTGCTTTTCAGGCTGGTGAATGAATATCTACCATTCTCAAGATGCAAGTAAGTTGGTATAATCTTTCGATTAACACACATGCCGACTGATTCCTAGAAGGAATGTAGGCTGTAATTATCAATCAGCAATCCAGCTTCTCTCTGATAAAATGTTTGTCTGCCTCAACTTCTATTGTCTATATGTGCTTGGTGTGCCAGCAAGTAAAGGCACCTTCAACCTATTGAAATACCTGAAAAGAAGAGAGAAGGCATTGCTATAGATTTCGTTACGGGTTTACCACGAACTTAAAAGGGTTATGGTTCTAGGGGTGATTATAGACTGGTTGATCAAGTATGCACATTTCTTTACCTGTATAGACTCATAGACTACCTTTACTTCATCTCAGAATGCTCCGCATTTATTTGGAGGATATCGTCTCTTTGCATAGCATGCCGATGTCCATTATCTCTGACCGCAGGGCGGAGCCCAGCTTTGGAAGTATTTTCAATCTGCACTGGGGACTAGATTGAATCTTTGTCCAACTTTCCATCCTTAAATTGATGGTCAGTCTACGAGGACTATACAAATTCTGAAGGATATGTTAAGCGCTTGTGTTTTAGATCTCGAAGGGATTGGGATTGATATTAGCCTATGATGAAACTTGCATATAATAATAGCTACCAATCTAGTATTCAAATGGCACCGTTTGAGGATTTGTTGTATGGTAGGCGGTGTCGGTCTACATTAGGTTGGTTTGAAGTCGAACAAGCTAAACTAATGGACCCATAATTGATTCAAGCTGCCATTGAAAAGGTTAAATTGATTTGTGATCGCTTAGTGGCAGCTCAGAGAAGGGAAAAGTCTTATGCTGATAAGCAGAGTCGTCCTTTAGAGTTCGTAGTTGGAGAACATGTATTTTTACATGTTTCACCAACGAAGGGAGTTTTGCGGTTTGGCATGTCCAAGATTCATTGGGCCATTTGAGATTTTGGAGAGAGTGGAACCCGTAGCTTATCGCTTGCTGCTTGGCACTTTCACATTTCTATAAGATAGCAGTTCATTTGGTCTTTTACATTACTATGTTTCGGAAATACCGTTATGACCCTTCTCATGTGATTAGTCGTGAAGATGAGCAATTAGAAGAGAATTTGTTATGCATTAATATCTAATAGCTATAATAGATAAATGGGTGAGACATATACGCTCAAAGAATATTGTCGCAGTTAAGGTTCTTCGGCAAGGACCATCCGTCCAGTGAAGAAATGAATAAGGAACCCAAAGAAGTAATGCATGCAAATATCAAACCAAGGTTAGTAGACTACTTTTTCAAGAATGACATTGAGGAAGGCATTATTTACATCTAGCCAAGTAGTATGCCACTTTCTAGATATAAACTTAATTGCTGGTCTAGATATATCAGTTTGTGTGCTGGTTACAACTACAGATTTCGGGTTGCGGCATTAAGTATTTGCGACATTACTAACAACACTAAAATGATTACAACTATTATATTAGAGTACCAAACATTAGAGAATTTGGAGCAGAATAGTGATGGGACAGGTCATAGAAGATGGTGTCCTTATAACATTGTGTTGAAGGTATATGGTTTTTGATAGAGAGAAGTGAAAGATCAAAGACAGTGAATTATAAACAGTAATTTGATATGATTGATATTGTTATTGTTATACAAAGAAACTAGACTTGTAAATTTGAGTATCTTATAACTCGTTATTTGATCTAAGATTCTAAAAAATAATATCAAGATATTATAAATATTCTCATATTTCTACACGGCCCTATTTAACAATTTGAGTATCCTTTAAATCATTACACTAATGGTAACTACTTTGATTCCACTTCATTTTGGAATTCTAGCACACACAAGCAGTCTTATATACATAGCTAGGCACAATTTTGTTTTTGGGTTTCCACCTTTCAGCCGACTCTATTAAAGGTAAAGAAGACCAAAAAAAAACTATGGGAGGGTAAAGATAAGAGTTACCTCTCTACGAATTTTCAGATTTTCCTGAAGCAGTGCTTGGCCATTAAGAAACAACAAATCAAAAGCAAATATGCATACATCAACCTTTATGCCACTCGCAGCTACATTTTTGCGGGAGCGGGTACTAAGCACCTGTCATGATCTTTAGATTATAACATTGTCTAATCTATACTCTTCGAGCAAAATATTAGAAATTGGAACATTGAATCCTCGTGATTAAAAAAAACACATTAATTACAAAATGATTCAATTTTAATCGACTGCCGATGAAAAAATTTTAGACAAATAACTAATTGATGTATATTGAAACATTTAAAAAATACAAAATCAGCATCGGAGTTACCTGGAAAGGAAGGAGTTTCTGTTTTGCACGATCATATGCAACCAATTCACAATCAATAACAAATGACGACACAGTTCCTTTCTTTAACCTGTTCACTAACAACAAATATCAAAAACTATGATGTCGAAAAATGTGTACTGGGAAGCAACTGATGTCTTGTTTCTCATGGAATATCTAAAACAACTCAGTGTAATTATGTAGTAAAATATGTTGTAGTATATTAAATTATCCCAAAGGTTGAGTGCTTGTCTTCTTGTAACAAAAGCCAACATATTGTTAACATCATATCAATGTAACTTGTCTATCATTTACTCCTTATTATCCCTTTAAACCTACATAATTAAACCCTGTAACCTTAACAGTTCCGTCCAGTGCAGCTTCATGGTGTTAAGGAAATGTTCATAACTGGCACAAAAAGATGTGGTTCACAAATAAATTTAAATTCTAAATTAAGTGTTTTTACCTTGAAACTGCAGCAACAACATCGGGAAATTTCTCGGTGTTCCGTTGAGCATTCCTACTATAAATCTCAACCGAGCCATTATCCATGTAATGTATCTGTCACGATAGAGTTGATATTATCAAGACTAAGTAACAATCATAACAAAAATATATTTGAAGGAAATAAAGACCATGAAACATCACCTGAGCACGTTCTCCATCATATTTGTATTCACAGGTAAACCCTGCATCCTGGAACTTATTTAGAGCTTCAGATACACTCGTCATTGGTTTTGACAGCATAGGCTCAACCGGAACACCGACAGTAAAAACACATGTTGTTGGAAGTCGCCATATACCATCAGTAAGCAGCGACTGTACTATTTTGCCATAGTCAGGGAGAACAGAATATACCTGTTTAACAATCTTTGCGGCCTGATGCAAAAAGAAACACAAATAAAAATTAGAAAATAAAATCTAATAGGGTAGAAATTGGAAATATGACTACAATGCTAACGCACTGACACCCACCCGTCTCTAACTTTTAAAATCAGAGCAAATATTGTCGATAGCCCCATCCTCAAAAAGAATTAGTAACTTAAATTGAATAAACTACCTCCATACAAAATTTCCAAATCTCAATCAAATGAAATACCTCTTCTGAAGGAGAGTGAATTTCAGGAGGAAGTTCAGAACGTTCTTCAGAATAAAGGGCAGCTTGGCCCAATGCAGATAATAAAGTTTGCTCACCATATCCAAGGCGCAACTCTTTCTAGAAAACAAACGCAACAAAAAAAGAAATTAGCAAATAGGCACTTGACTACGTCATAGGGATTTTAAAAAAAAAAAGATAATTAACAAACACCACACCTGAAGCAAACGGGTTAGATATAAAGGTTCGCAGTCGGTTGCAGCAAGAAGAAGTGACTTTATATGATTCTTTTTCTTCTCCCGGCTGTCTTTTCCGGATTCCTACATGCATTTATTTATCAATAAGCAGAAATATTATAAAACTCTAGCTCTTAAGTAAAAAAATGTTTGAATCACAACTGACCATGTCTACTACCAACAAACATTGTGCTCACCAGATGGAGAAGGAACAAATTTAAAGATTGTAACAAACAAACAACATAAAAATCAAATAGAAAAAGAGTAAAGATTATATATATATATATATATATACACCTTTACAATTGAGTGAAAGGTGTTGAAAACTTTTGTTATAGTCAATGCATCGGGCTTCCGGAGCATAGATTGAGACAAACGGATAGCTTTGGCAACTGAACCCAAGTCACCTAAAACCTGTTGCAAGACAAAACAAGAAACATGAGTAACGGGGAATTCTATTTGAGTGTGTGAATAATAAGAATGCAGGAGAGATCAAACCGTATACTGCTGGTTAATGTGCTTCTCAGTCCTGCCACAGCCCTCGGCAAGGGCCTTGATAATGGCAGCATCACCGATACCCAATTCCAAACCTTCATGTGGTGGAGCAATCCTATTTGCAGCGAGATTAACAACGGGCAGGAGATCCTGAGGGCTAGTGTGTATGACACACCTCAAAAGGTTGCAAACAATATCTGTCATTACAATTCTGCCACTCTCTTGCTGGATCAAATCAAATGCTAAACAGAGGAACAGAAACGGCACGGGTTCACCCTTCTTCCACCAAGCAACTGAGGTAGGATCAAACTCCGACGGCTTCTTCTTTAGAAATAAAACCTGTTCCCTCAGTTCTTCTATGGAAGAAGAAGAGGGAGCGGATGGGCGGCTACAAAACTTGTTTGGGGGTTCGGTTTGGTTAGGAGGATTTGGGGAGGGCTCTGAGTGAGAGTGTGGGGTTTTTCTTTTCAGGTCTGATTTCTTCTTAGCCACATCCCGAGCTCCCGACATCAGTACATCAAACGCCGAAGACGACATTTCCAGCAACAACACACGGAGCCTACGCCAGCACGCGGGAAACGTTCACAAATGTAGAGAATGAGAATGAGAATGACCCTTTTTGTTAGGGTTTCAATACAATGACCAAAACTCAAGAATATGAGTGTAATGATCGAAAGAACCGGACAAAATAGTACTTTTACACACTACAAAACAACTTTTTATTTATGAATGGCGGCTTGTCTTTTGAATCCTACTTCGGCACTATTCCGAACTATGTAAAACAAATATTCGCTTTTTAGTTTCATTAAATAATGTATGTATATGATCTATATAAAAAAAATTGTTTATAAATTAGGTTGGAGAGAGTAGTTTACATTCTCTCAAAACTTAATAACGCAATAAAATTTAATTTGTTTCTAATCAGATGAAAAATGATTAATTGGGTGTATGTCTCTTTTTCTCCTGAGTATTTGGATATTAGTTGTATAGTTTGTCTTTTGAGTATTCGTCTTCTTCAAGAGACTTTGATTTGATTCATGTCAAACGTCATAAAAATGGATGAAAAAGGATTAGTTGGATGTATATCCCTCTTTTTTCTGAAACCCCGAATATTTGGATACTAGTTGTATAGCTTGACTTTTAAATACTTTTCTTCCACCTAAAAATAACTTCAACCAATCAAACCTACTTTTTTCGCCCTAGCGCGACCGAAGTGCTGACCAACAACACCCCAGTCAAACTTCTCTAGTTAATGACTTCATTGTGGCCTTTCTACCAGTGGGGCGTGGACATCTTGGGCATGTTCCCCTTGGTGCGGAATCAATTTAAGTTCTTGATAGTGGGAGTCGATTATTTCATCAAATGAATATAACCATAAGTTATTGCTAAAATAACGACATAAAGAGTTTTTTCGTTTCTATTGGAAAAAAATTATGTGTAGATATGGACTACTTGGAGTCATTGTCTCGACAATGGGGCCCAGTTTGTTAGTATTATGGTCATTGACTTTTACAAAAACTTAGTAGTACAAATGAAATTTGTATATGTTGTACACCCTCAGACTAACGACCAAGCGGAGTCAGCAAATAAAGTAATTTTGAAGGGACTTGTTGTACCCCAAAATTTGCTCTCCCATTTCCTCAACATTTTCTCATCACAAGACTCTTGAAGATCAAGATCCAATTAGGGTTTCCTTTGCTCAAAGCTTCTCCTTGCACTGTTGACCCAAATTAGGGTTTGTGTTTGCACAAAGATATTTTGACCCAAAATGCCTAAGATGACTTTCATGCTTCATGTTGGACTCCCAAGTTTGTCCATACCAAGTTTCAAGCCTTGATTCCAATCTTTGCCCAGTCAATTGGACAGTTGACCTAAAAATCAGCTGTATTGGGGAAAAAGTCAACTGTGGCCAAATTGACAGTCAAATCTCATGAAAATTGACCCACATCAACATTATGAACTCACATGGACCATTTGATCAAGTTTGGATCACAATTCCCCAAGAAATTTGATCAGATCATCAAAAGGGCAAAATGGTCATTTTTAGGGTTTTGACTGCACAAAGGCAATTTTTGACTGTTTGATCTAGCCAATGGCAAACCAAGCTCACATATGGACTCAAGGACCCCATGGATTCATCTTGACATGCTCAACAAGTTCAAAAGGTCCCAAGTACACAAGATTGACAGTTGAATTTCCCAGTCAATTGATCAATTTTGACTGTATACTGAAAAGTCAAACTTTGACTTTTTGGTCAAAATCAAGGGTCAAGATTCATTTTTCATCAAAACATGCCAAATCATGAGACTTGTTCACCAAGAAATCAAGAATTGCAAATTAGGGTTTGAAATGGGAATTTTTCATAACTTAGAATTTTTCTAAGTTATGGAAAACCCTAATTTTTTCCCAACTTTGCCCCACTTTCTCACCAAGTTTCATTTGGATTCAAACAAAAGTTAAAACATGAAAGTTGTAGCTTGTTGCATAATCTACAACTTTGATTCACAAAGTTTTCCCAAATGAGGCTTGTATCTCAAGTTACAATTTTTGGAATAAGGGTGCTAAACCATTCTTAACTTAGTGAAATTTTAACCTATTTTGGCAAGGTTTTCTACCTAACTTCAAGGCCATTTTCCATACACTTCCACTTGGAATTTCAATTTTTATTTCAAAGATGGATTGTAGTACACATTCCAAGCTTTCCAAAATGTCCAAGAACTTCTCAAACAACCTCATAACTTGAGAGAATCGAATTTCACAATATGGCAAAAACTCACTTTTGAATTGATCATGTATATGTTCATAACTTAGGCCATTTTCAAGTCAGCATAGTTTGTGCTACATTACAGGTCCTAAAACCCTTTGACACTCAATAATTTAATGCCAAGACCATGTTTTGTGTATTCAAGCATTGTCTAGAAGATTAATCCATTTATAGATAAAGCATTATTTCCATTTTGAAAAAGTAGAACTTTATGTCCATTTTGCAAATCCAAGTGGTACAACCAAAATCTTCTAGGCACAAGTTATGAGACATATTGCACTGATCAAGGCAAAGGGTTGCAGCATGTTATGGGGGCCTGCATCAGTCTAGAACATCAACTTGCCTTTTGTTGCTTAAGAAAGAAGAAACATAGCATAATTTGTACCAACTCTCATATCAGCTTACAAACACTTAAGCAAACTTGTAAAACACATTCAAGAGATACCAACTGAGCTAAGACACGACCCTAACATCCCTCATACACTCCCCTTCTCAGAATCACCTTCAAACTGCAAGAACAGGGCAGGGCCTGCAGTTTGAGTGCCATCTCTCATTCCTCTCAAACTTTCTTGCCCAAACCAGTTCACACACCTTCCATACCATCTATGCAAGCTAACCAAAGCCTAAAACACGACCTGTAATCCCTCTAACTGGTTCCACCATTTTCACTTTTCTGATTTGCAGGTGAAGTGCTCTAGCTCGATTCAAAAGCTTTCAAGGCAAAATAAAGCTTGGAATAGCATCCCTGGACCTCAAGGAAACTATCCCAATCATCACCTTGCATTGAAAGCTTCTCCATTGCCAGATAGAACTTCAACTGAACATGTAAGTTTTTGAATTCATATCTCTCTTATTAGGCATTGTTAGCTTTAGGTTTGTGAAGAGAATATGTCACAATCATTGCCCTGAACATGCCCATATAATTAGATTTTATTTATATTATGTGTGTTGCAAGAATTTTGAGTCTGAACATGGAGGAAAATCTAGGTTAGGATTTGGGGGAGAAGAAATTCTCCCTCATCTTAGAGAGTTAAGACAAGTTCTGCATATGGTTGGATTCGTCTTCTCATGCTCTACACTTTTCATTTTATGAGTTTTGCTTGAAAGTCCAGGAATCAAGAGATGGAAAACGCGTGCTTGCTTGAACAATGTTGTTCAGAGGTTGAAGATGACTGGTTCTGGGCTGGGCCTGGAATATTTTTCTTATTTGCACCATGCAATTGCTTCTGAACCCCCCTGAGCCCATTTGGTTTATTTTTAATGTTTTTTGACTTTTTCTTTTTTAGATTGACTTATTTATTTTTCCTCATCATATAAAAAATATAAAAATAATTTTTTGTACCATTTTCCTATTTATTAGATATTTATTTGGTTAGACTAGTGATTTGAACATAAATAAGTAAATAAATATACTTTTATTTAAAAAATGTTAGAATGGTGTAAATACATTTTTATTTTTATTTTATTTCATTTTATATTCTGAAAATATTTTATGTGAAATATACTTTTTTTACAAAAAATTAAATATTATTATTTTTGTGCATATTTAAAATAATTTGTAAATAATACATATAAATACATATATATTAGTATACTTAGAATAAAATACCAAAAATATACATATTTTTATTTTATTAATATTTAATACTAAAAATACATTTTTTACAAATATACTTCATCTTTATTTTATTTTTGTACACAAATAATAAATATTGTATATATTGAATGAATAATACATTCATTTAATAGAATTAGGGTTTTGCCCTAACATGAAAACTCCAAAAAAATACTTTTATTTTTATTTTATTTATGTGACATAAATAATACTTTTTTCATACATATAAAAAACTTTTTGCATTCTTGCATATTTGTTTTATTCTTATTTAATTTATGCCTTTAATTATGTTGCAAATAATCCAAAAAAATGATGTAATAGCTAGGTTTAATTTCCTTGTCAAAATCCCCATTCAAACATTTGTACCCCCCTTCCCATATATGGTTTTGTAATAGCTTAGTAAATTTATTTTCGCACTTTATTGCTTTCTAATTATACCATGTTAGAATTAGGGTTTGTATGCGAAAAATAACGAAAAATAGTTTTGACCTAATTTCAAGATAAACAAGCATGAAAATGGACACACAAATCACACTTGCACCCCCTAGGGTATTCCACTTGTTGCCTTTCAAAATTGGGCCATATTGCATGTTAGGTCTCTTTGGGCAAAACAAACAAATCAAATGATCATAGTCCCTCGATAACACTTTCAAAATGTTGCCTAAACAAATGATCAAACCCCTTAAAGAAAATGCCCAAAGATACTTGGCACCATTGCAATTATGGTCTAAACGATGACCCGCGCCCGTCCCTTTCACATCCTAACATGAGATTGTCCACCAAATACAATGGTGGAACAAACTTGTTAAAAGGGTTAAAACATAGCAATAAACTTTGAGAAATTTAGGAGTAGATAACCTCTTAGTTACTTAAATCAAACTTGCAAAAACAAAACACTTGCCTATTTTCTAAAACACACCTCACAACACTTTCAAAACAAACTTTCAAAAACAAAATGAAAACCTTTTTCAAAAGACATACATCTTTGTATACATCCCCACATGGATCATTACAAAGGTTGCCACCACATTGGCTTCTTTTCAAAACATTTTCAAACCCACACACAAGCACCATTTCAAACAATTGAAAACAAAAGGCAAGTGATCTAAGCAAGTAACTAAGAGCCCATGGATAACCATGGATAGAAAGGGTTCTAAT